TTTTTTTCCTTAGAAAATATAAAAATACTAACAGTACTTTCAGGGCTGATATGTACCTCATTCAATGGTGGCATTTATTTGTCCATCTTCCACACTACTAAAACAGACAACTTACTAGCTGAGTGACATATTTGATAGTTGTTTGTTTCTATAAAGATTGAACAAATATGTAAATACATGAGTTTGGAACAAAACTTGGTTAAACCCATTACCTTAGAAAATGGGAAGATTTGGGAAGTCATGACTATAATTTTAGTTGGTAGACAATCAAAAATCCTTCATCAGTGTGAAGACACAACAGTTGCGGTTTCAGGAGGTGCGGCCCCACTGCATCTACCTCGCTGACGCACCCACGGTCCCTCCAGCATCTGGATGTGGAAATACTGTTAATGTAATGAGGTCCGGTCTAGCAGCACCAGACACATGCCCAGGGGTGCTGATATGATCATCAGAAAGAATCCGTGCGGGGCCCCAGCTGTGATCTGAGACTCTTACAATGAAGTCATCAACCGCAGGAAAAGGAAATGTTGAGTGAGAAATAATAATTATGATTTAAATACATATTCGCTATCGTATTAATTCTATAGGTAACAATAATAAGCTAGGGCCTGTCATTGGGTGAGGACTTACTTTGAGCTGTGCAGTCTTCTATATTCATGATTTCATTTCATCCTCTCAGTCTGCAGAGTGCTTTTCTACAATTCCACATTTTAAGAACAAGGATACAGAGGCTTGGAGCTGTTAATGACTCCCCCAGTATCCTGGCACAAATCCGTGGAGAGCCAGGTCTGCCTGACTTAGCAGCTGTGCTCTTTCTGTGAGCATGGAGAAGGCTTGCTGCCTTTGCCTGTAGAATGAGGCTATTGACTAATCACACTTTCCTACCTAGGTCCGTAGGAGTGGAGTGTTGAAGAGCTTCAAGTTGTCTTTAATATTTCAAAACACCTGAGTGTAACTAGTTTAGAAGGATGCCCAGGGGATTAAAATACCATACTTGGGCTGTAATCGTATCAGCTCACTAGGATGACACTGGTCATCTTCCGCGGATGAAAAACTCATTGACAGTTATAAATGGTTTTCTTTGCATGGTTGCTTAGCAAATGCCCTTTTTTGGTGCAGTCTTTTAAAGCATGATGCAGTGGGAGAAAACTTAACCCATGTGGTTCTTGTGGAGGAAAAGATTAGCAACCATTGGTCTACACAGCTGAGTCCTCTCCTGGCTGTCCAAGAGACCCTGACAGAGTGCAGTTGTTTTAGATTCACAAGTCTCAGTGACTCTGGTGGCCACCCAGTTTCCCTGTGTCCTTTACCACAGCTCTGTTAGTCCCTCCTTCCCACTCTGACAGAGGGGAAAGCGCCCTCCTTGGAAGCCTCAGCTGTTCTTTAACGGCAGGCACCGTCTCTGTCACACTGCGGACACTTAGAAGGGTGATGGTGGGGAAGCGGGGAGCAGCTCTCTGTCTCTTTCCGTGGACTCTTTTCTTCTCCCCTAATGTAATGTCACTTAGGTTAAAAGTTCCAAAAATACTAGCCATGAGCAGGAATATATCTGATCATGCTCCTTTACATTTGTGTAACCCACAGAAGGATTTTTCTCTTAAAGTATTTCATTTTTGCCTACAAAATATAGGCTGTTTGAGCTCCACTTGTGAGATAAGTCAATAGGCAAGGAGACATCGGGTGAGTTGGCTTCCCTGATCCTGGGAACAGAGGCTAGACTCAGTGGCATCCTTCTGGCTTCTGCTGAGGCTCTTTCCTCTTCCCAGCAAGCCCCCAGCAACTAGAGTCAGATGAAAGCAGCGCTGAAGCCCTCTCGCTGTGCAGTGCCCCCATAGGAAATAATTACCAAAAGCAGCCCTCAGAAATGACGGGACCGGGGAACAGTAACTGAGCCTCTTCGGCTAGGAGCAGCCACACACGCTAGCAAGGGCTGTCTCCTCCAGTTGAGAATATGATGTGCCACTTGGTATGGTGGCATCACCCTTCCTGGCCTGCCAGCTGTGTGTGGCATGGTGTGAAAATGGGGCTGAAATTGGATGTGGCTTCACCCCTGTGCCTGCCCTTTGAGGCTTAGGATTTGAAGCAGATGAGTGAAATTTTGAAAACCATCAGAAAGATGTTTTCTCAAAGGATCAGAGATCACCCAAGATGACAGGAGGAAGTATTTATTTTTCTTACATCCTGTCCAGGTCACTTTGTAAATTATAAATCAGGACCCCAAATGACTGTAATTGCAGCAAGCAGGGCATGTTCCGAAGGAGCATCTCCAGGCGTCTGCCACTCGTCTGGGGTTGACGGGGAGGAGTGTGGGCCTTCTGAAACCAGGCATCTCACAAATACAAACACTAATGTGGGTGTCAGAGAACCCCACTTTTGCACCATCAGTTGCTCTTTCTGAAGGGAGGAATGGGGGACACAGGACAGTGTGAAGGAACTTCCTTTTGGCAGGTAGCAGAGAAGGCAGATGAGTGAGCTCCGTGAACTAGAACTCACCCAGATTCAGCCACCAGAAGAGCTGAGGTTCCAAGTGGGACGCTTGAGTGAGGCGAGCTGGTTACCAGAGCCGGGCACTCGCCTGAGGCCACAGGTCCCTGGAAAAACTCTGCGGTGGTCTGTTGCTCGTTTGGTGTGTCCTGGGTGCCCTGTGCTGTATTGGAGTGTGTTTAAAGATTTCTGTTAAATAATTTAGGGCTTGTAATGCCTTGGCAATCGTAATGATACTTTAGAAGAGGCAGCTGATTCACTATTATTTTCTCAACTTAAACAGCTTATAAAAGAACAGTAAAATGATAGTCCCAGGGTTTTATACTTGGAAAGTGATAGACAGATCACAGAGAGACCCTAAATATCACCTCGTCCATCCCTGTCTCCTTCCTCCTTCTCTCTCTCTCTCTTTTTTTTTTTGGAGGCAGTCTCGCTCTGTTACCCAGGCTGGAGTGCAGTGGTGCAATCTTGGCTCACTGCAACCTCTGCCTCCTGGGTTCTGGTGATTCTTCTGCCTTAGCCTCCCAAGTAGCTGGGACTACAGGTGTGCACCCGGCTAATTTTTGTATTTTTAGTAGAGATGGGGTTGGCCAGGCTGGTCTTGAACTCCTGACCTCAAATGATCCGTCAGCCTCAGCTTCCCAAAGTGCTGGGATTATAGGTGTGAGCCTCTGTGCCCTGTCCTGCTTCTCATTTTTAAGGTGAGGAGGCGATTAAGACTTTACAAATTAATGCTTCTGTCTTAAGCTGGGGCAGACCCTGGGGTTCAGGCCTGGTGTGAGAGTTGGAAACACACTCTCTCTACTCATCTCTATTCAGGATGCAACAGGGCTTTCTGGCCTTTCATCCACAAAACTGTCTTCGATCTCATGAGCTGGCCATGCCGAGTAGAAGGATGTGTTTGCCTCACCAAGGGAGATTCAGAGATTCCTGAAAGATTGTCCACTTGTTTAAGTAGTTGGGGTTATTCAGCCATTTGCAGGTTTTAAGAAAGTCCTCCAGGAAATATCTCATTTTAAAGCTCATAGTTTTTGGATGATGCCTTTAACAATAGGCAGAAATAAAGGGGCTTTAAACCAGAACTGCTATTTATCTTTATTTTCATCTTTAAAAAAGTCGAAAGATTAAACTTGATGAATTGCCACTGATGCTTTTTCACAGTGGGTTTCTGAGCAGGTCACTCTTCACCTCTTGGCTTTCTTTGTAAGTAGAAAAGAGGCATCTGGTAGCTTCAGATTGTGGCTTCTGTGAGGACAAAAGTCCATTCTGGTCTTATCCACCGCCATATCCGCTATGCCCGGCATAGTGCGAAGCATATAGGAGGTGCTCCATTCATTTGCTGGACGGGGAATTCAGTTGAGCGTCAGCTCAGTTTCCAGGTACTGGAGGCAGGCAGTGGTGTTTGCCATCTCCATTGAGTGTATGGGATTTTCACCAATCCATTTTAAACAGGTCATTTCCCCACCCATTGGACTTTACTAGTCTTTGTGTTTGAAAATAGATTCGGACCAGCCCTGAAGACACTGGTAGATCCCTGGGAAAGGCTCCCGGTGACTTGCAAAGCTTCTCTTACCAGCAGCACTGAAGGAATCATGTCGTTCTTCCCTTACTTCAGAGGGTGGCCAGAGCTGAATATCCAGAGAGGGACAAGTAAGGGTCCAGTTCCAAAACATCATGAGGATGTATCATCCCACGTGTTGCACATGAGAGTTACAGAGGAAACCAGCACTCAGAATGCACATGCTGTCTTATGGGAACATTCAACGCAGACCGCTCAGGTCCGGCCACACTCGGGCTATGCTTGGTCGTGCCATGGAATTCCTCAGGACCTTCTCAGCCTCCCTAATGGCAGAAGCCCCTTTACAGCAAGACATCTACCAATTGTCTGAAAATAGCCGAGCTGGCCCTTTTCTTCAGGCTATATAAGAAGTCTCTAGGCAGGGGACACCATCACCCAGAGTCTTGTGATAGCAGCCACCCTGCCTGGCTCAGATCTTCCCATTTTTCTCCTCTGGCACTAACCTGATCTTTTGTTTTTTTGTGTTTGTTTTTGTTTTTGTTTTTGCAGAGTTGGATTACAGAAACTCCTATGAAATTGAATATATGGAAAAAATTGGCTCCTCCTTACCTGTAAGTTCTTCTGCCTCGGGCCACTTAGGGGACTCGCTTTCCTGCCTTCAGGGGCCTCCTCCCCTGTGCAGAGCGTCTCTGGGAGCTCAGACCCCAAATCAAGTGCTCTCTGTGTACACAGCTTCCCGGGTGCACAGCGATGATGGACTGGGGCTGGGGGGTTGAGGTTTGTACTCAATCCACTTCGTTTGACATTTTCAGGGAGAAAATCATAGAATGCAGTTAGATGTCCAGCAGAATTACTTTCTTAGACTGAGAAAGAGCTAGAGATTTCTTTAAAAAAATAAAATGAGGTAGTGGTGGTTTTTCAGGTATACGATTAGCTGTTTTTGAGAAATTGTTTTAAGTAACTGAATATTTTCTCTGGGCAATAAGCCTTTCTCCCTGGTTTTTCATTTTAAGAGGTTATGATGGGCACTGTCTTTCCTGGCATAATACCTGCTGCCCTGGGGCATGTTATTCCAAGGGTGACCTCTTGCTGCTGTCAGCGATGCCCTCGGAGACGTGTGGCACACAGGAGGGCTTGCTTGCAGCACTACACAGTCCTGGACGTGTTGCTCTTTATCTTACTTTGCGTCAGTCATTAATGCCGGGGTTACTGCTTCCAAACTGCAGGTTGCTGTAAGTTAGACCTGAAGGTTGGGTGGGAGAATGTCCCCAGGCACAGGCTTAACACAAGCGCCACATCAGTGAGGTCACAGCTGCCCAAGTAAAGTGCATGGGCTTTGTCATCATCCCCGGTGTGTTGCTTAAAGAGCTTAGCTCTGTGATCGCAACTGAGTCCACAGTAGTTGAGGCCATATACATAATACTAAGGGTGACACATTTTACCACTGAAGGGGAACTGTCATATGTTTTGAGATCTTTGATTTAAATGGATTGAAACCACAAGGGGCCCCTTCCTCTTGTGCCACCACCCACTGCCTGGCTCGTTGGCAGGCCTTGTGGATGAATTTTGTGAGGAGCATGCCCTGCTCGGGAACAGCAGAGCCACCCAGAGATTTCATGGCGGTGCAGAGCAGCATGCCTGCCGGCCTTTGCAGGGACTTCTTTGGGGACCCCAGCAGGGCATGTGGAGGGGGGGTCTTTCAAGGTCTTCCCATCACTGAGAGATGCCAATTTCCATTTTGGGGCTTCACATCCCACAGCCCTGTTTCTAGTCCAGCTGAGCTGCTCTCCAGGCCCCTGCCCTGGGCTCATTCAGCTACGGTCAGACCAGCTCTGGGCTCTTGCCCTACCTCTCTGTGTATCTGCAATGGCCAGCGCAGCTCCTGGCCCAGAGAAGGTGCTCAGAAAATGTTGGTGAATTGAACAAAGTCCAGCTCACCAATGCCGTGGAGTCTTCTCCACTGGCGCACGTTCCTACTTGAACTCGGTTGTACTTTCTCTGCATCCTCCTTCCCTCCTAACCAGGCCCCACTTCCTCCTTTCTTCCTGGTGGCTCCAGAACAATGAAGGCTTTACCCTGGTGGGTTATTTGTTCCCTGTTGAAGAGTGCTCTGGTTTTCATCTCAGCTGCACGTTCAGGCCAGCTGTACCCAAGCTGATATGTGACTTTGATCCCTGCAGCAGGACGATGACGCCCCGAAGAAGCAGGCCTTGTACCTTATGTTTGACACTTCTCAGGAGAGCCCTGTCAAGTCAACTCCCGTCCGCATGTCAGAGTCCCCGACGCCGTGTTCAGGGTATGACTTCCATGATGAGAGAGTTACACATCACGCTGAATGTTCCAGAGCCTCTGAGCGCCTTCATGCTGTTATTTTGACTTCATTTCAGTGCATAGATTCAGGCAGCTGACACGCCACATAATTTTTTTTTCTTTTTAATAGAGACAGGGTCTCACTATGATGCCCAGGCTGGTTTCAAACTCCTGGGCTCAAGGGCTTCTCCCACCTCAGCCTCCCAAAGTGCTGGGATTACAGGCATGAGCCACAGTACCTGGCCAGCCCACATTTTAGTCTCTCTGAATGTCCACAGGGACATAAACACATTGGTTTTGTTATTGGCTGCCCTTTGGACTAAAGCGAAATCCTTCAGCAGTTGACTGTGTGACCCACCCGCTATAATCTCGCCCAGCACACATACACCTTATTCCATCATTTGTCTAAAGGGGACACTGTGGTCCAGCATTCAAAGCTTGAATCCCACCTGTGCCCCACGACCCCCTCCTGGTTGTGTGACCTGATGTGAGGTACTTGGCTCTCCTGGGCCTCAGTTTCCTTGCATGTAAAGTAAAAGTAATAATGAAACGGACCTTGCAGGGATTTTATGAAGATTAAAGGAGGCTATCAGTCTTCCAGAGCATCCCCCAGCTGTGCGACGGGGAGAGGGCACTCTGTCTTCCAGAGAGATGCTGTGTGTAAAGCTCTTGTTGAAGTACCTGGCACGCTTCAAGTGCCTGGTAAATGTACATTATTGATATGGGTGTTCATGTTTGCATTTATGAGGGCTAATGTTTGGAGCAGTGCATTGTTTGATCAAGTAAGTGTGGGCATTGCTGTAAGATTTGGACCAGCCTATTTTTGTCTGCCTGCCCCTTTAAGCAGGAGTGAAAGTGCTTGCACTGACTTCTCAAACTTACAAAAGAGACTCTGCAGACTGCCCAGGGTGGTGAGAACAATGATGATGGTGGTTACGTTACTAAAACAGTAGCGGCACCAGTTGAGAGGTACCGTGTTAAGTGCTTTACGGGCATGCAGCATCTCATTTAATCTTCACAGAGAGGTCCACTGTCTCCATCTTATAGAGAAGGAATTGGAGGCACGGTACCCAGTCACTTCCCCAGAGTCCACAACCAGGCAGCTGGTGGTCTGCTGAACTGCGGAGCTTGGGTCTGTAGCCAGTGGCATCTGTAATTCTGCCCCTCCCTTAACACTTGGTCCTGGGGTGACTGCCCAGTCTAGAGGCTGCATGGCCACTGGAGACCTGGCCCATGTTCCTCGGGAAGTCCAGGATTCCTTGTGATATGGTCACATATCACATATCTGCATGGTCAGGGGATCCTGGTTGATTTCAGTGAGTTTCCCAGTGAGAAGACTGAAGATGCCCTTTGCTTTCCCCAGGTCAAGTTTTGAAGAGACTGAAGCCCTTGTGAACGCTGCTACAAAAGCCCAGCATCCTGTCCCACGAGGACTGGCCCCTAACCAAGAGCCACACTTGCAGGTGTCGGAGAAATCCTCCCAGAAGGAGCTGGAGGCCATGGGCTTGGGCACCCCTTCAGAGGCGATTGAAATTGTAAGTGGAGTTGGAGGGGCCCCAGATCACAGGGCCAGCTATGTATTGTCGCCAAGAAGGCCAGGCCTTCAGAGCAACACTCACCTGATACCTGCCATGGGTCCCACCCTGACTCCCTGACCACAGAAGCCAACCTGGGCGATCCCATACTGTGAGGATGAGGGGAAGGTTCTCTGTTCACATCAGTGCGGTTTTTCATTTCCCACTTAAGTACTTTATATGCCTTCAGGGTTATTTAGTTTCCATTTTTCGCCCCTTAGGACTAGACTGTTGCCTTGGAACAGTCGTTAAGCAGTCCTCTGCAGCTTCATCCTTGACAGAGGGCAGGGGACCCTCTTCTGGGAAAGTTAGTTTTCCTGGGACTTAGTGATGGGAATTTTTCCTGTTCAAAGACCAGGACTTTTCCTGTCCCCAAGCCCTGCTGGGGTCTTGCAGAGTAAATAGAGCTGAGCTGAAGGCCTCACTTACCCCCGAGTCCCTGCACAGCACACATGTCACATGGTCTTCTGCATTCCCCAAACTAAGCGATGCCCATGCCATGGTCTTCCATGCGTCTGAAATGCACCATCCTTCTAGGTGGATTTTAGTTTTATTTCCTCTACCTCCTGCCCAGCAATCCCCAAGCAGGTGTGAAGCCCTTGATTTGGTGTGTTATTTTTGTTCTGTGTTAGTAGGCCATTTCTCTCATGCATCAAATGTTTATTGAGCACGTACTGTGTGTCTGACAGTTGGATGCTGGAGTGGATACTAGAAAAACAATAGTAAAAAGAGGGTCTAGATGTGAATCAGTCTCTCACATTAATACTCTGAAGCACATGTCCGTGGTTCACCTTCTACAAAGCTGGCTTCTGATTCTGAAGTCTTTCTGATCTATCAGAAGAACTTTTTCATTTGAAATCATCTTTCCATGATTGAGAAAATGACCTTTACCAAAACCTTACTTCCTATATATATATATTTGAAAGTATTTCTGGAAGAGTTATGTTATGTTTGGAAAACCCACCAGCTAACTGGCCTTTCACCTTCCGCTAGCTAGCTGCCACTCACTGACCAGGGAGTGAGGGTGGCATGAGAGTGGGAGGACACTGAAGGCTGCCCTTTTGGGGAGGGGGTCGGGTCTGCCAATCTCAAGATGTCCATTGTCAGCATGTGGGAATTAGTCTAGATGAAACCACAAGTAATGGCAGCTAATTGATACTCTCTTTAGCCTCAAGGCAGAAATGTCCAGCAAATGGCTGCGTGGCCCTTGCTTGGAATCAATATCACTCTCTGTTCTCCTCTATTTTTCTTGTGTGTCCTCCTCTCTGCCGGCGTTCAGACAGCTCCCGAGGGCTCCTTTGCCTCTGCTGACGCCCTCCTCAGCAGGCTAGCTCACCCCGCCTCTCTCTGTGGTGCACTTGACTATCTGGAGCCCGACTTAGCAGAAAAGAACCCCCCACTATTCGCTCAGAAACTTCAGGTTTGTAGCCCACGTGTGACCTTTTGGGAGTTTGTGAAAACCTCAGTAGAGAATGAACCCCCGAGGCCCAAATGAAATGAGGCAGGATTTGATGAGGAGCTGCCAGGAATGTTCCCAGTGACGTATCTTCCCTTCAAAGAATGGTATACGTGACGTTCTTTACCCACGGTACCAAAGTGATATGAATTGTGTGATTACATATCGAACAAACCGTTTCTATTTCAATTTAGAAACTGGGCCCAAATAGTCATTATTTAGAAGCATTGATAGCCCCCAAAGTAGTTTCTGTGATTTATTCACTGAACCAAGAATGTTAGATCACCACTGAGCCAAGCTGTTTATATATATACGTGGCTATCTCAGACTCCCAGTGAGATAACATCTGGGCTCAGTCTTGCATCTAGAACCAAAAACAATGATGTACTCTGTGCTTTAAATTTGACAACTTAATTTGATATTCTCTAGACTAGGACATTCAGAGTAAACCTAGAGAGATTAACAGCCGTATGAGAGATGCAGCTCCATTCATGGAAACGATTGGCCAACTTTACCTTAAGAAAGAAAAAGGGAAAGAAATCAAAGAAAAGAGAACAGCAAAAATTTTGATCCCATTTTGAAAATCATTTTGTATTCAACTGCACAATACTTCCTGACAATCACAAGGGTGGTTTTTTAGAAAAGGAAATTAAATGCTTATTTCATGATCTGCTGAGGTGCTAATTGTGAGAGAAAGATGGAGCGCGTGTTTTTCCCGAGTGCCTGTCATGACACATTTTCGTGGCACGTTCATTTCTCGGATGTGGAAACCATTGACGTCTGTCTTGATGCATTTCCCTGCGGTCTGCCCACACTCCCTGCGGGCAGGAGGAGTTAGAGTTTGCCATCATGCGGATAGAAGCCCTGAAGCTGGCCAGGCAGATTGCTTTGGCTTCCCGCAGCCACCAGGATGCCAAGGTACCGGTTTGCTGCTGCGTGCGCCACCTGGGAATGTCATGTGTGCCGCTGGGGTCCAGAAGCTGCTTTGCTAACCATCCGCCAGGCGGGCATCGTCGGTGTCCAGCAAAGGGTCATTTCCAAAAAGCTGAAAGCGTCACTCTTGCATAAATACACACTGAGCACATAGCTGAGATCCATTTAACTCGATAATGCTAAACCGCGGGATGGTAATGCTGGTTAAATGGGGGAGAATACAGAGACCAGTGTATGGGTCAGTAGGGTAAAGAAGGCTAGCCTGAGATGGCAAAGTTGAATAGAAAACTGGTTAGCACCAATTCAACAGAGAAAAACAAAATCATGACCTTTGAGGGTTTTTTTTTCTACAGATACCATTTGTTTCTCTATTGAACAAACATAATTTGCAACTTTTCTGTTTTCTACAAGTTAACATCTGACTTTGTTGCAACGAGGCTCTAATCAATAATACATAGTAAGTGAAACCAAGACATTTGATAATACTCTAGACCAGGCCAAAGAAATCCTTTCTGTAAAGTGCAGATGATAAGTATTTCCAGCCTTGTGGGCCATACTGTCTGGCACTATTCCAATAAAACTTTTACTTATTTGCTTTCTTTCTTTTTTTTTTTTTTTTTATAAAAATCAGCAGTGGGCCATTTGGCCCATGGAGTTTCCCAATTCCTAGTTTTAGCATGGAGTGTGACATTGACAGGGCATGCAGAAATCTTTTTGCCTGGCTTCCAAGTTTGGGGTAACTTTCATTAATAATTTGAATGAGTTGCTGATGACGTGCAGAGCGTGTGTTTGTCCCTGGACTGCCCATGCAAACCTTGGTCTCTGAGGGCGGCCTCGTTCCCACCCCTTACCCCACCCCAAATTGGACATCCCGATGAACCTGGTGTGCCAGACTGTGCTCTGTGGCTTTGAACAAGTAGGTGAACCTCTCTGAGCCTCAGTTTTGCCGTTCATGAGATGAGGCCAATAATAGCCAGTTTACAGGTTGCTGTGAGGATGACAGACGTCTGGTGTGCGGAGAGTGACACCATGCTTGACACCTAGTAGGTGTGTGATAAAGGAAAGCTGCTGCTCTTAGCTGACACTTCTCCTTTTGCTTCTGTTACCTGATCAGGTGCTGATCAGGTAACGCTCCCAGCGTCTGTCCTCAGTAGGTGGATCCGGGTCCCATTTTACAGATGGGGAGATGGAGCCACTTGACAGTGATTCACCAGCCTGTTGGGGACTAGAACTCAGGTCTCCAAGTGAGAGGTCCCCAGCCAGGTGTGGTGGTACACACCTGTAGTTCTAGCTCCTCGGGAGGCTCAAGTGGGAGGATTGCTTGAGCCCAGGAGTTCAAGGTGACAGTGAGCCGTGATCACGTCATTGCACTCCAGCCGGGGTGACAGAGTGAGACCCTATCTTTAAAAAAAAAAAAAAAAGTACGAATGGGAGCCCCTGGCCTGCCTGCCTGGAGTAACAGCTCATCTGCAGGGGTCGGGGGGCAGTGATGTCTGTGTCTCTCATCCTTGGTACAGGAGTAAGAGTTCCGGCTGCTACTACGGCCCTGATGGCCCCCAGTGAGGTTTCCTTGGCCATATGCAAGACACCCCTCCCAGAGACAGTAGGTGCTTACACTGTGGGTCTGCAGGCTGGGAACAGCGAGACCCAGGGCAGGGACAAGAATGTCAGTACAGACTGGGGATGTCCTTGTTCTTGTTGCCAAATCATAAGCTTAGTTCGAATTTCCATGAAAGCAAGATTTTTAGAAAGCATGAAGCAGTGAGGACTTCCCCCCACCACACACACACACACACACACACACACACACAAAAGATTTATTTCTAGACGTCCTTGGGGCCTAAAGACAGAATGAATTGCATGTAGTTTGACCACTATAAGTACCGTGTATTCCTGTCCAGAGTTTGAGGTGGAACTGAGCATGTTTGGTGAGTAGCTCAGGGTGGATATGGAGTGTGCTGAGTGCCGTGGTCCCCCTGCCACCTCCTTTGGAGAGCGGCCAGAGACGACTGTTGGCAAATAATGGCCAGGAGTTGACTTTTTGTCAATTACAGGCTGTTCTCAGAATATGTGCCCCAGTTCTGAGTTAGAAAATAGTGTCATGCGTGTTCATAGTGTGTGGGTCGGAGAGGCAGCCCAAGCCACCTCTTTTATTTCAGAGGCGTGTGCTCAAAGGAGTATTCTGTGAGGGTAGAACTGTCTTGGAGTCTAGAGGGAACATGTTTCTCTAGTAGAGTAACTTGTATTGCTTTTGTAAAAAGTGCATTACCTGGTGATGTTGGCCCGTGGAAAATAGATGGTATTCCTGTAGCTACCCAGCCCGAGGGTGGTCCACGGGCCTGACCTCAAGTTGGTCTTTGTGGGTTTCTTTTTCGTATAGAAAGATTGTCCCTTGCTGCATTGGAAACTGCTGATGCATAGGAAGAGAAAACAGCAGCTGTGTATCCAATGTGCCTTTTTTTCTGGCCATATATTTCAGCAGTAGGTGACACAGCTCCGTCATTTTGCCAACATGGTCTTAAGCTGTTGCTAACACAAAGATGAAATCACTTGGAACGAAAAATATCATATTGCATGGATGAAAATCACCATGAGCTAGAGTGGGGAGTGATTTTTCCGGTTGTTCCCTAAAGCAGCTTTGACTTCCATTTCTCTTTAGACTGATGGAGAGCTGAGTCAGCCTTGGAAGAGCTGCAGTGGGGGTTTCTCCATCTCAGTTAGAAAATGTGAGAAATGAGGAAAAGTCCTTAAGGGCTGGGGTGTCAGGCTGCAGTCTTACTATTACCGTCCTTCCACATCCTTCTGGTCAAACGGAATTCGGCTGTGTCCTCCTGGGGGTGAACCTGACCAAGGTCGCTGGAACTGTGGTGCAGGAGCCCTGAATTTAACACTCAGTCACGTCAGATGGAACCTGAATGTTGTGTCTGGGTGGCTCTCCAAGAGGCGCAGGCTATGGGCCTTTCTGGATTAGGGGGACCCAATAGAAAGATGGAAGGATGTGTCTGGGTCCCTTAGGAGCAAGGCCATACAAATAACAAGCTTCAGGAAGAGGCGAGTCCTAGCAAGAGGCACCCAGGGCGATAGAGTGGTGTGGCCCCTCAGTCCTGGCCTAGAAGAGGCTGATGTCTGGAGCTTACATGAGCAGAAGGAGTTGGGGCCACCCGTGTTGTCATTGAGCAGCCTGGCACCATGCCCCGTGTTTCCCTCTCTGTTGCTGTGTCACAGACTAACCCCCCATACATACACATTGAGCTGAGATTCAAAAGGAGGGAGATGTGATGCCCAAAAGCCACGAGAACAGCCTGAGAGGAGTGACAAGTACCAATTCACGAGAGCCTGTGTATTTGGCCCTTTGGAGCATCTGTGGTCATTGCCTGGAGGCTATGTCTTGGCTTGGTAAGCGGGAGCGGCTGGCTGGTGCCAGTGGTGCCACTTGTGGGAGTGGCATAAGGCCTGATACTGAGTGCCTCCCCATGATCCCCACTCCTCCTGGGCTTGGGGACTGCCTGTGGTCAGAACTGGATGGGGCAGCACCCAGCGGAGGCCACTCTCCTGCTTGGGTGGCAGCACATGACCTGGACACCCTCTGAGCGCCAGGCCTGTGTCCATGCACCGTGGCCTTGGTCCAGGGGGCTGTCATCTCCCTAGCTCATCCTGACTCCTGGCCTCACCCCTCCGTGGCCCCTCTGGCATGGCTCTCCCAGCCTCGGATGTGCAGGTGCTCTGCCCAGAATTGGCCTCTCTCTGCTCCAGGGGACAGGGATCCTGCCACAGTGCCAGCCCCTCCTCTCCATGTCTGGCAGCAGGGAACCGTCCACAAGGGGGCTAGGACCCCACCCCCAGCTGCCAGCAGGAAGGACCCCAGGCACAGCCTGCAGGTCTGAAGCAGGAGACAGTGGCCAGAGGTTCTCGCAGGTCGCGGGACTTGAGTGGAGTAAAGGTTGGAAATTGGTTACAAAGTCCATGCCTTCTGTGTCACAGCCATTTCACATTTCAATTTGTGATTCTAGTGGCTTTTTTGGCCCCTCTAAAGTGAGGGTTATGTGAGAGAAACAAAGCTTAATCTAAAAATATCAGCGACAGACAAAGCTATTAATTTCAGTTAAAAACAATTCTTGGTTGTAAGGGGAAACCAGCGTGTACACGATGAATTTCATCAACACGCAGATACTCGGGCAGTAATTCAAGAGGGCTCTGAAGTCATCTGTTCCTTTATTGAAAACACCAGGTGGCCGGGATGAAGGGGTCAGTGAACAGTCTACATGGTAGTGTCCGTTTGCATTTTCTTAGAAACCTCATTATTTTATTGATTTTTTTCATTCCCTTTCTTGTTTTACAAAGGATTTTCGGCAGCATAAAGATAATTAATTCCTTCATTAGTCGTATTTAGTTTCTGCCCAGTATGATAAAGTTAGTTTTAATTAAATCAATTTGCTCCTGCGCTGCAGGGAGCCTGCTTATTTTGGTCAGAATTGAATCTCATTCTGGGAAACCTTGTGGCCCAGTCACTGAGATTCTCCATTACATTCATTTTCAGAAGGTCCACGCTGAGTTTGATGGTGACTGATGTTGTTTTCATTTTGAAATTTTATTGCTCATTAAAAAAAAAAACACATTTGTTGACTTTAAAAGTGAACAGGTTTTGTTTTTCCTTTTAAAATCCTTTATCTTTTTTTTTTTTTTTTTTTTTTTAAGACAAACTCTTACTCTGTCACCTAGGCTGGAGTGCAGTGGCATGATCTCAGCTCATTGTAGCCTTCACCTCCTGGGTTTCAAGCAATCCTCCTGCCTCAGCCTCCTGAGTAGCTGGGATTACAGGCATGCACCACCATGCCCGGCTAATTTTTGTATTTTTAGTAGGGACAGGGTTTTGCCATGTTGGCCAGGCTGGTCTTGAACTCCTGACCTCAAGCGATCCACTTGCCTCAGCCTCCCAAAGTGTTCAGATTACAGGTGTGAGCCACTGCAACCGACCCTCAATTTTTTTTTATTAAAATTTTGTATAGAGATGGGGTCTCACAATGTTACCCAGGCTGTTCTCAAACTCCTGGCCTCAAGGGATCCTCCCACCTCAGCCTCCCAAAGTGTTGGGATTACAGGTGTGAGTGAGCCACCGCACGCGGCCCAGAATTGTTTTCGGAATTGTGTGTTTATGAACTTTCTCCATAAGGACAAATATTGAGTCTCGATCTCTGTGTCATTTTTCAACTACTTCCTGAGAAGTTCCCCCATGACAAACAGAACTGTGAAAACCATTTTCAAAGAGTAGAGATAAACCCCTGCCTGTGAGAGGCTCTGGCCCTGTAGCCTGGTGGTGCCCTTGGTTCTGGGAGGTCAGCCTGCCTCTGCTGAGGGCTATTAATGTGTATTCTGGTCAAGCGTCCTTGAAACGGGGGCTCCTTGAAGGCCTGAGCCTGCCCTGTTCTCACATGAGTGAGTCTCTGGGGTCTGCTTGAAGGAGACTGTGTACTTCCATCTCTGGCCGGTGGATCATTTGGGTCCTGCTTCAGGGTCACCCCAAGTATGCAAGGCCGGGCAGGGGCCATGAAACCCAGGCAACAGACGTTCGCTTCCAGAACAACTGAAACTATGTAGTTTCACCCTGCATGTATACAGCTAACTAACTGGTCCTAACTCAGTCATCTCCGTCCTATCCATTAAACTCCTTGAGTTTTCTATGCTGTCTCCCTTCTCGGGTTTATTTTCCCTGATGCTGTCATAGGGTAGGCATGCCTGTTCTTGTGGTGGAAGAGACAAATTCTGAACAGGTACCTTTAGGTCCTCCCCCTTCTCATTTACTGTTGGCTCTTTAATCTTACCTGCTGTCCTTGACAAGCCCTCATCATTCTTTCCCCAAATCTCCTTCCCTCTACTACACTGTGGTGCCCTTTCACCATTCAATTTCTTCTCATAATTTCCCAAAGGAAGAAGCAGTCCTTCTCTGCCTGTTAGAGCACTCTATTATTGATAACTAGGATAGAGGGTCGCTGGGCAGCCATGACAGCACCACAAGGTTAATGCATAGGACTGAGAGTGTGATTGGTTTGATGTTTCTTTTGCAGTAGAAGTAGACTGACAACCCGGCTGTGCTGGTCGATGATACTGCTAACACCGCATTTCAACTGTGTTGCAAATTGCCGAGCATTTTGTGCAAAGGGAAAATGAATAACCACAGACTCCTCCTCACCTCTGGGAGGCTAGTATCTGTTCTCCACAACAGGCTGTAAAGCCTCAAACCAACGTCAGTTGGGTGGGTTGGGGTGGTGGATCACGCCACTTGTTCGGGGTCTAATCAGCAAATGTGGATGTTGTCATTGACCCAGTTTTTAATTTTCCCATTTACGTAACAGACTTCATGGCAACAGAACTCCAACATAACTCTTACATCCAGAAACTCTACCTAGCCAAAGGTGATATTGGTTGACAACTACAGTAGGCCTTAAGCTTTGTGTGACTCACATCCTTTCAAACAGAGCTAAACAAATGGCCCCAAAATTGAAATGTAAACAGTCTTACAAAACTGATCAAATCTGTGGTTATTCAAAACTAGGCAAACGTAGACTAGTAGACTAGAATTCAACGTTATTCACCATTGAGATCTCATTTTGGAAGTGGAGCCTGCTGAATAGTGCCCTGGGTTCTCAGGCGCTGTGCCTAAGTGGCTGAGCGCGTGATAAATGGCAGAGATAAGCAGGTACCAGACACGCTGGACTCCAAGGCCTCGGAGCTGCGGGGGCCTCTGCCATTAGCCCCTTTGTCTGCCTGCGCAGGTGCAGAATGATAGATCTCCATCCCCAGACTAGACTCGGCATTTCCCTGTTCATCAGTCTCTGCACTTTCTCATACTTTTGATGTTCTTTGTTTCAAAACCATACAACTGGCCCATTCATGAGAGGGTGAGTGTAATCCTCTTTGTCATATGATTAATGCTAACTTTTTTTTTTTTTTAATTAAAAACCATTCCACAGAGAGAGGCTGCTCACCCAACAGACGTCTCCATCTCCAAAACAGCCTTGTACTCCCGCATTGGGACCGCCGAGGTGGAGAAACCTGCAGGCCTTCTGTTCCAGCAGCCCGACCTGGACTCTGCCCTCCAGATTGCCAGAGCAGAGGTATCGTGGCATGTGGTGTGATTACCCTCTTCCTGCCACTTAGAAATAAACACGTATGCCCGTGGTCCACAAAGCCAGAGTCTTTGGAGACAGACTTTGCCCTCTGAACGCTGCAGGGAAAGATGTATGGCGAACCGTGTGTTTTGATCTTCCTAGACACTATCGTGTAATGGGCCTTTTGGCCTTGTTGAATTTACAACAAAAAGCATGCCCCTCTCAGTTGCTCCCCGGTGGGCACTGTGAAAGTCTTCATATCTCGCTGCTTTCTTTTTTATGCTCAGGGAAGTTCTCTGAATGTAATTATGGTTCGTCGTCGGAAGTTTTCATTCCACATTTATTCACCGTCTCCTTTTCTTGATCGATGAATTGCTCAGAGCCGAATTCACTCATCTGGGGCTAACCTTTCTCTTCTTCTCCCTGAAACTAGATCATAACCAAGGAGCGAGAGGTCTCAGAATGGAAAGATAAATATGAAGAAAGCAGGCGGGAAGTGATGGAAATGAGGTCAGTTGGGGAGCTGGGCCTTCCTCATGCCTGAGGGATGCTTACCAGTGGTTTAATAATGACTGGAGCTGGTGTGGTTCACAGAAGAGTGTCTTCTGTGGAAGTTCTCTCTTCTTTATTACACACGGTTCATATTTTTCTAAAAGAATTTTTACTCTATTACTAATACTAAAATAGCCTGCCCATGAATTAAATAATGCATTCAAATAAATATAGGTACAATGCAAAACAGATCTTCTCCCCACTCAGCCTCCAGTTCCACAACCCGCAGGTGACTATCTTCTGTGTGAATCCTTCCAAGAATTTTCCATTTCTCATCACAAATGTAACAATGAGTGTAAACAGCCTCTTTTTTCTCCAACACAAATGAGAACATGCAGTATACATTATTCTACACTCTTTTTAATATTTTTTTCTTTCTTTTTTTTTTTTGAGATGGAGTTTCGCTCTTGTTGCCCAGGCTGGAGTGCAGTGGTGTCATCTCGGCTCACTGCAACCTCCAACCCTGCCAGGTTCAAGTGATTCTCCTGCCTCAGCCACCTGAGTAGCTGGGATTACAGGTGCCTGCCACCACGACTGGCTGATTTTTTGTATTTTAAGTAGAGTCAGGGTTTCACCATGTTGGCCAGGCTGGTCTTGAACTCCTGACCTCAGGTGATCCACCCGCCTCAGCCTCCCAAAGTGCTGGGATTACAGGCATGAGTCACCGCTCCTGGCCCACCACTCTTTTTACATTTAATAGCATATCTTCGACATATTTTATTCCTCTCTGCCTCATTCTGTTTAACAGGTGCTTAGTGGTCCATTGTATAGATATAACATAATTAATTTAAACAGTCTCTGTGGACAAACATTTAGGATGTTTCCTGACTTTAGCTTAAATGATTTCTTTTCATTGTGGTATATTGTAATAGAAATATAGCCACCATCTATAGTGTACGTGAGTATAATGGCAGATAACTAGTTTTGTTTTGTTTTGTTTTGTTTTTGAGATAGAGTTTCGCTCTTGTTGCTTAGGCTGGAGTGCAGTGGCGCGATCTTGGCTCACTGTAACCTCCGTCTCCCGGGTTCAAGCGATTCTCCTGCCTCGGCCTCTCAAGTAACTGGGATTACAGGCACCTACCACCATGCCCGGCTAATTTTTTTTGTATTTTTAGTAGAGATGGGGTTTTAACATGTTGGCCAGGCTGGTCTTGAACTCCTGACCTTAGGTGATCCGCCCGCCTTGGCCTCCCAAAGTGCTGGATTTACAGGCGGGAGCTATTACACCCAGCCCCGATACTAGTTTATTATCAAAATCAATTGCATTCCTGGCTACCATTTTAAGAAGAAAGCGAACTGTAGGTAATCATATCTCTTTTTCTAGGTCATGGTAGGATCTTCCTGAAAATTCTCCTGTTTGTTCCTTCTTTCTGCTGATGGTCCCCTGTGGCCACCTCTGGACACTGAGCCTAGTGTACTGTTTCACATTCAAACGAAAGCCCTGCATTTGCGTTATTTTTAAACCTCTTTGTTTTGTCTCTTATCTGGGGGGCATGGGTGGCTCTAGTTTTTTCACGTGCACTGAAAATGAGGCACGGCACCCGGGAAGGTTGGAAGTGCTGTCTCTAATTTCTTTCGCCTCCTAGGTGCTTTGCCTTCTTGGTGCCCGGGGAGTGCTTGTTTGTGGTTTGAGAAGTCGTGCCACTGAGGGGCCCCCAGGAGGTGCCATTTACTAGCTGATGTGGTAGGATTTCAAGTTGTCACCAGCTGGCGCAGATGTGCCGGCGTTTGATAGCCCGAATGTCAGCCCGTCAGTCTCTGGAGCTAGACTAGGTGAAAACCAGGCTCTGCTTCCCAGCCACTCCGGGGCGTCTTACTTAACTCTGTGCCTCACTTTGCTTATTAACTTGAAAATGGGGGTAAATAACAATACCTCAACAGAGTAGAGCAGAAGGATTGTGAACAAAGGCTGCAGAGTCTGATGCTCGGATTCACATCTGGGCTCTGCCACTTGGCAGCCTTGGGATCCTGGAAGAGTTCCTGAATCACTCTTATCCCACCCCAGTGTCTTCATCAGTCATGCTGGGAACAGTGAGGGCACTGCCTCTTAGGGTCATTGTGAGGGTAAAGTGAAAAGACAGCACAGCTAAGGTATTTTCAGGTCCCTGGTCTCTCCACGCTTCCAAAAGGACACATCCCTTACCTCCTTGTGTCCTCAGCAGTGATGGGTTTAGACAGAGCAGCCTCAAAGATCTGTCACAGCTTTGTGATTCTGAGATACAAGAAGGTGTTGTTTAATGACAGGAAACACAGAAGTGCTTCTGTGTAGGATTTGATAAGAACCCTCGGGGGCTCATCTCGTGGTTACCTTTCTTGGGAGTCCATTCTGGGGTGAGACACTGACCTTGGGACCAAGGTTGAGCAGCCAAGGACAGGCACCCAGCATTAGACTTTGCAGAATGCATTCTACTTTCATTATTCCTTTTACCCTTATTGAATTTGCCATACAGCCCCGAAAGGTGGGGTCTAGGAAAATCCTTACTGTACCAAGGAGTAAGCAGAGCACCTGCAACTTCAATGAATGTCGTGCTCAGGATCACACAGCGGGGAGGGGCAAGCTCAGTGGGAGCCCAGGCCTCCTGACTGGGGTGGGGGTCTCTATGGTCTTCTGTCATTAGGGTCCTGGATCTTCAACAGTTACCCGCTCTTGGTTCTCTTGTGGGGAATAATTACTGGATAATGTCGATGAACTCCTGATTCTTTTTGAGAAGTTTCTTCCAGCAGATTGGCTTTGGAGGAAGGACTTCTTCACACATTGGTTCTTCCATGTGGGGACAGCTGGGAGGCAGTATGACAAACAGGGAGTCTTGGTGCTTTTGTGCAGCTATTGTCTATTGAGGCTTCCCAGGAAGTTTACTCTGGGTCAATAGGAGATAAGATTTGTGTTCAGTGATGCCAGATGCATGAGATGCTTTGGAAGAAGATGCAGATAAAAGGTGATAGGGTTCCAAGGAGAAATCAAGGAAGGCTTCTTGAAGGAGATGACATTTGAATTGGACCTTGAGAAACAGACTGTGGGGGGTAGAAATCGAGAGAAAGTGAATAACATGGGCAGAGGCATGGGGATGAGAAGGCCGAGAGCAAACAAGAAATCATTTGTTCTTATTGAGCCACTGTGTTCATGACATGGCGTGGAAGGAGGTAAGATGGATGAGGGAGGTTGGGCCCGGGTTGCAAAGACCTCCATTGTCGGACTGGAGGTTTGGCTTTATTTTTAATTTTAAAATTTTTTTGGAGATGGAATCTCGCTCTGTTGCCCACGCTGGAGTACAGTGGTGTGATCATAGCTCACTACAGCCTCAGACTCCTGGGCTCAGGTGATCCTCCCACATTAGTCCCTTGAGTAGCTAGGACCACAGACGCAGACCACCACACCTGGTTAATTTTTGTATTTTTTGTACGGATGGTGTTTCACCATGTTGCCCAGGCTGGTCTCGAACTCTTGGACTCAGGCAAACCTTCTGTCTTAGCCTCTTGAGTAGCTAGGAGTACAAGTGCACACCACCATGCCTCATTAATTTTTTTTCATTTTTGTATAGGCAGGACCTGGTTCTGTTGTCCAAGGTGGTTTCAAACTCCTAGCCTTAAGCAATCCACCTGCCTCAGCCTTCTCAGTACCTGGGACTGCAGGCATGCACCACTCTGCCTGGTTTGATTTTTTTCTTAGTGGGCAGTGAGGGGTGTTGAAGGCTTTGCACAAGGGGGTGGCATATTTAGAGTCATGCACCAGGAAAATGAGCGTGCAGGGCGAGGACTGACATTGAAGGTGACCCTGAAAGTCAGGACCCCGCTGCACATGGGCCAGGCTGTGGCGCCCAGCTGTGTGAGATGGGAAACCATTCTGTTGTCATGACTCCAACGTGTCTTTACTTCTCTTATAGGAAAATAGTGGCCGAGTATGAGAAGACCATCGCTCAGATGATAGGTAGGTGTCCTGACCTGCGGGGGCTCAGGCTGGCCCTGACGTTTCTGAACTATGTGGAAGCCTTGGAAGATAGGAGGCTCAGAGTGGGTTTCTGGTAGAGCGTGAAGTCTTTCAAGGAGGGACCAGAGCATTCCAGAAAATATGGCTTTGCCACAGGACTGAGACCCTGTGGCTTCTTGGAAACGCCCCCCTGGACTGTGCCGTAGCATTATTCACACGCCTAGGAAGCCATGGCAGTCACTTGCCAGCTACCATCTGACCCAGCCAAGGACTCTCCACCTTGTGGGGAAAGAGATTCCTTTTGGTTGGGATATTTGGGGGTTTTTTTCTTTTTGCTTGTGGGAGAGAATAGGAATCAAATCCCTAGACCCTAACTTAGTTTAGACTCAAATGACAAAATACCCGACTCAGCCTTTCCTCAAGGACCCAAGGACGAGGAAGGTCAGCCATGGCATGATTTTCCGCCCCCTTCTTCCCGTGACCACAACAGGCCCTGTTCACTGACCCTAGCACTGTTTCTCACTGAGATCAGACACTGCCTCGGAATCCTTCTTAACGCAGCGTCCCTGGCAGCCAGTACTGACAAATTTGCTGTGGTCCACAATAAAAGAAGGCCTCAAGTTATAAACTACACACGCCTGGGCCTTTTTTTTTCTTTTCTTTTTTTAAATAATGAGAAAAGATCTTTCAGAAGTTCCAAGCCCAAGTTTTTACGCTAATGGTCACTATTCAGAAATCATATTATGACTGGGGCTGTGGGATGCTTTTGTTTATTTATTTATTTATTTGCTTAGGTTTATGATAATCCACTGTTTGTTTGTTTGGGGATGAGGTCTTGCTACGTTGCCCAGGCTGGTCTCAAACTTCTGGGGTTCAGCGATCCTCCTGCCTTGGTCGCCCAACATGCTGGGATTACAGGTGTGAGCTACCATGCCCAGCCCATGATAACCGGTTTTGTTGTTGTTGTTGTTTGAGATGGAGTCTCGTTCTGTCGCCCAGGCTGGAGCACAATGGCGTGATCTCGGCTCACTGCAACCTCCACCCCCCGGGTTCAAGTGATTCTCCTGCCTCAGCCTCCTGAGTAGCTGGGATTACAGGCACCTGCCATCATGCCCGGCTAATTTTTGTATTTTTAGTAGAGACGGGGTTTCACCATTTTGGCCAGGCTGGTGTTGAACTCCTGGCCTGAAGTGAGCCGCCTGCCTCTGCCTCCCAAAGCTCTGGGATTGCAGGCGTGAGCCACTGCGCCCGACCCGATAAGCAGTTTTTTTTTTCTTCTAAGGATATATGGAGTAAAAACTCCAGGTCACTGCAGACCACACTTTATTTGTCCAAACTTGACACTGTGCTGGCACCTGGCCCTCAGCCCCAAATATATGGATGTGTGAGTCACATCACACCTCTAGCTTGTCCCAAGATGAATATAATAGTAGCCTCAGGAATGGTGAAGAGGCCAGCAATTGAGTGCTTTCCATTCAAAGGAGCTTCACTTTTGATTTATTGTAACAAAGTTCATTTCACCCAGAAAAGAAGCCCATTCAGGTTTAGCCTCATGGTGCATGCTTTCTATCAAAGTGAAACTTCTTTATTAAATTGGTATAAGAATTTATGAACACATATGGATAAGATAAAGAAAAAGCTCTTGCAGTTGAAAATGCTGGCAAAAATGGTCAGGCTGAGGGATTGATGTCTTCCTTATGCGGTGTTTGGCAAGTAGAACACAACTTTTTGGCCTCCGGGAGTCTTGCGATTTGAGAACATCGCTCAGGCCCTCCATGGCTCATCTGGAAACGTCCCGCTCCATCTCAGAGCCGTACACTTCTTTTCGCCCTTGGTGATGACATTTTGATAAATGTTGAAATGCGGGGGAAGGGGTGTGAGCTTTTGCTCCTGAGGGAAGGCTACCCAAGCCATCTTTTATTGCTCGGCTAGTGAAGTTGATATAAACAGACATTCCCTCTTGAAAATTAAAAGTGGAGAATTTCTCTAGTTGGCATAAATGTTCTGTCCTTGTCACGACAGAAAGATGACTCCCACGGTTTCCTCAAGGAATATCTGCAGGTGACAGCAGTGAGGACCTTTTCAATCCTAGGCAGTGTGAGTTCCCTCCAAGCCCTGGAGAGAGTGCCACCTGCCTTCCTCTCACGCTGGCTGCAGGGATTAGGGCTACACATCACCCCCCATCCCCACCCCTGCTCCCAGACCTGATATGTTTGGCCTAAGGGCCCTGTCTTCAAGAGCTGTACACACAATCCCTTAGAGCATTTTCCTGTCCTTGGGCTACTCTCTGGGTGGCCCCGTGAGACTCCTCCAGTGTCCCTGGCTGGGAGCAGCCACAGAGGGGCATCCCACTGTCTGTCCGTTCCCGATCCCCATCCTCATTCACCCATTGGCTGTCCTCTTTGTCATTCCAAGGCTTTTTCATCAGAAAGGTGGCAGGCCTGTGGTTGTCATTCAGCCACTGTTGCAGGTCATTGACTAACGTCACCATAGATTTCAAGGTCCTTGTGTCCTTGCAGAAGACGGCAGGGGGCTGAGGCATGACTGGGACTCACTGTAGCTGTGGGAAGGACGTGCCGCCTTTGTGGCATGGTTCAGGTCAGGGTCTCTCCATGCTTGGCCACATGCCCAGGGAGGCCCATTTTTGTTCCATGCTTTTCTTTCCATTTTCACTCACCTAACCAGCATCCCTCGCGAAAGAGGAAACTCAGGTCCAGAGAGACTGGCAGTTCAGGACCACCGTGACTGTAGTTGTATTTTGAAGTCAAACCAGCTCTGGCCCACATGTGCTAGCTCTTCCTGGCTCTGCTCCATTCAGCTTTCGCAGATGCTCCACACCAGTGTGACATCAGTCCTGCCATTGTTATTCATTCGCATCAAATGTTACTGGAGAGGATCTGTCTTGTTAAGCTCAAATAGTGACTATTCAGAATTCAGAACGAAAAGAGACTTCTGTGCTTTCTGCATTCCAGGTTGTTGCAATTGATTTCTTTCTGCTTTTCTAACAACTGCCCTGATTATCTGTTTTGCTTCCATTTTCTGTTGCTTCTTGCCCTTTGCTTGCAAAACAAACAGGCAAGCCTGGTAAGTAAATGCTTTTCCCCCTAATTTGACACCTGCCCATCGCAACCCTTTGTTTGTTTGTTTTTCTGTTTTGTTATTTTTGCTTTGTGTATTGCTGCATTCCCCACATGATTTCATAATGTTTTGCCTGAAAAAGCCAGGCAGGTCTTCAGGAGCATTGTTCTGTTGTTGAGTGTAGGGCGTCTTTCTCCTGAGTTCAAGAACCTAACTGCATTTGTCATGTACAGAAAGATTTGTGAAGCATTCTTGCCTCCTCTGTCTCCTGGGAACAGGGTAATTCTATTTTTAAAAGGGAAGAGGAAAGGAAACCTGAGGCAGGCAAAGTCTTGGATCCAGGAAATCAGATGGACTTGGTTTGGTAAACAGCTCCTTTACCAGGGCAGGTGAAACATACACATGGGCTCAAATCAGCCCAGAATATACACCATAGAGCATGCTGGGAACTAAGGAAGCAGCCAAAATTCAAAGAATAAAAACAAGCATTTGATTAGTAGAGACATGTTGAAAGGCCCCTTTTTTTTTTAGGAATGTGGGTGGAGCAAGCAGGTTGCTGATGATTCTTATCTCTGTGTTAAAAAGCTCCCTCTTCACAAGCCACTGTGACACTGTTGCACTGATTCCAGGGGTTACAGAGTTTATTATGGACAACGAGGCTCTTAATAATGGGTTACCAGTACGGGACTCTTCCTCCTTCATGAGGGCTTTATGTACAGTTTGTCATTTAATCTGCAAATGCAAAGAGATATAAATACTCTTTTCCCCTATTTTAGACAAGGAGGCTGAGACTCAGAGTTTAAAACCCTGCTCAAGATCTCGCATATGGGAAGTGTCAGAGTGCGGTCTCGAACCCAGGCCGTCAGACTCCAGAGGCTCCTAGCCACTGGCCTGGGCAGCTCTGGGCTGCTGGTAGTGAGAGCTCTAGGAGTCCCACGATTGCAGAGGCAGGTGGGAGGGACATTCGGCATCTTCAGGGCCAGTGGTTCTCCAAGCAGGGTCCCTGCCCCAGCAGCATCTGTGTCACTCGGGAACTTGTGACCTGTGCATATTTTCTGCCCCACCCCAGACCTCCTAATCTCACGCCGTGGGGTGAGGTGTAGCAGCCTGCATGTGAACAAGCCTTTCAGCTGAATAAATCCATGCTCACATGGGAGAGTTGTTGGAAATGACACACTGGGACCCCAAGAGGTCAGAACTTTAGTGCAAGCTTATGTCAGGACCGGAGCTGAAACTGAGGAAATGACCGCAGCACACGGTAACAGTGCGCTTAGTTCTGGGGTGTGGCAAGATGCAGATCTGTCCAGAACCTAAGGGAAAAGAACTCACACAAAATCTCCCTGCTACTAAGGGAGCTGCATCCTACAAGGTCTGTCATTACAAGGGGCCCGTGGAGAGACGTGGTTATGATCACAGCTTCAGGCTTGGGTTCGGGCTCTGTCATTTTCTCAGTGAACAGTGACTTAGCTTCTCAAACCCTCTGTTTCATCTTCTGTAAAATGAGGGTAAGAAAAGCTGCCCAGGTGGTTGTGATGCTCTAAGTCGTTCACTCGTCACATGGACATGTATCAAAACATCCTCTATGTCCGGCACTGTCCTAGGCCCTGGGGCAGAGCAAGTGGACAAAACAGACTCTGGTGCCTGCCCTCACAGAGCGTGCATTCATCAGGGAGATGAGCCGCCGATACAGTAGCACAGGCACACATGCACACACGTGCACGCATGCGTGCACACATCTGATATAAGGGGTGGCTGCCGCTGCAAAGAGGAAAATAAAGGACTCTAGAGGAAGAGGAGCCATTTCCAGCACCTCTGGGGAGGTGACACGGGATCAGAGCCCTGAGCCAAATGTTGGGGAAGCCTGGAAGCCCGGGGCGTTGGAGGCCTTCATGGCTGGAGTGGAGGGGCCAGGAAGGATACAAGGCAGAGCATGTTATTTCCATTGCAGAGGGAGGTCACCGGGGGACTCTGAGCAGGAGTGAGGTGGTCTGTTGTGCACATTAGGAAGCTCGGTCTGGCTGCTGAGTGCTGGTTTAGGGACAGTCAACACCTAGAGCAGTCAGCAGGGCGCCCACCGCAGGGAAGGGTCCAGTCAGCGCTGGCGGCCGCTGTTCTGTGATTTCCAGATGTGATCTGTCTGCAGCAGCCAGCCCTTGGAGTCATTCCAGGTGGCGGGCAGCCCCCTCCCCGGGGACCAGGGCCTGGCAGAAAGACGGGTCTGCTAAGCTCCTTCCCCGGGAGCTCTGAGTGGGCGCTTCTCCCTTACCCCCTCTGCTGTCACCAAGAGAGCAAATGGTTCCTCACACGCCTGGGCCAGGGATGGATCCACACAGAGGACAGATGGGTGTTTTGTGTAGAGTAGTCAGAGAAGGCCTTTCCCATAAGTGTAGAAATGAATTTTTAAGCAGCCATAAAACAGAGCAAAGCCATGTCCTTTGTACCAGCGTGGACACAGCTGAAGGCCATTGTCCTCAGGGAATTAATGCGGAAATAGAGCACCAAACACTGTGCAGTCTCGTTTACAAGAGGGAGCTACCCATTGGGTACACACACGAAGATGGGAACAGAAGACACTGGGGAGTTCACAGTGGAGGCGGGAGGAAGGGGGACAAGAGTTGAAAAACTGCCTTTCAGGTACTATGCTCAGTACCTGGGTGACAGGCTCATTAGAAGCCCATACCCCAGCGTCAGTCACACAGTATGGCCATGTACAACCTGCGTATGTGCCCCAAATCTAAAAATACATATTTTCTAGATATTTGGTGCAGATGATTAGCTTGGGATGGCCACGGGCCAGAGAGGTGGGGCAGAGGACAATGGTGCCTCTCACCAGGATCAGCCACTCGGAACTGGGCTGACATTGAGTTACATTGTACATCACTGAGAAACTAACCTTGATGGAAATAGCTCCATGTTTCTTGGAGTTATGACACTTGCTGTATTGCAGACGCTCTCTGTGCCTGTGTGAATGGAATTTCAGAGGAGATGGTTTTTTGGGCTCTGGATTTCCAGATGTGTTAAGGATCTCCAAAGACCTCCTGTCTGTCCTGATACGTAGGAGAGCCCACCCCTCACAGCCCAGACCTCACACCCTTTAGTCGTCCTAACACAAAGTTCACTAGCGATGTCTTCTTTTTTACTTTATGGATCTGTCTGCTTGCTGTCAGCAACCACATGGAATCACCAGGGACACCAATATAGACCTGTGTAGGGGCTGCGCTGCTCAGGTTAAGGAATAGTGATGGCTCATTTCTTCCTCACGCGAGGCTGCACAGGCCTGGGTCTGGGAAGCCGGGGCGCTGGGTTTTGTTCTGTTAGAGACAGTCTGGGAGGGCTCTGGGGCGTGGGTTTGTCCCAAGGAAAAGCTGGGGTTTGAAGTGTCCCCGTCGGTGAGGCTGAGTTGCATCTGAGGCCTTGGCTGGCCCCAGAGACCCAGTTTCGACTTTCTGGGCTCCATCATTTGGCTCCTGGTCTCTCCTGCCAGAGGACGAACAGAGAGAGAAGTCAGTCTCCCACCAGACGGTGCAGCAGCTGGTTCTGGAGAAGGAGCAAGCCCTGGCTGACCTGAACTCCGTGGAGAAGTCTCTGGCCGACCTCTTCAGGAGATATGAGAAGATGAAGGAGGTCCTGGAAGGCTTCCGCAAGGTGGGGCTGAGTTTGGGGATGATGGAGGAGGAGGATCTGGTTGGGAGAGATTGCGGGGAGCACTGGGTGGGGGTGGGGTTCCGGAAGTCGGTCTTGAGCCACCTGCAAGGAGGGGGTCCATGCAGGCTGGGGAGGCAGCCTTGGCTGCCTGGGGTTACGCCCGCATCCGAGAGTTCATGGAGGTTCCCACCACTCCCGGGCATTTGTTCTCGTGGGCTTGATGCCTGTCCTCTGCCCTGCCGTGTCAGAATGAAGAGGTGCTGAAGAGGTGTGCACAGGAGTACCTGTCCCGAGTGAAGAAGGAGGAGCAGAGGTACCAGGCCCTGAAGGTGCATGCAGAGGAGAAACTGGACAGGTAACATTAGCCACTGGGGGTGGCTCCCAGGGGCCTCCCAGCAGCCCTTACCCAGGCAGGCTGGGACCTCTGGCAGCACCTGTGACATTAGCTTGGAAAGGGGGAGTCATCCAAGTGTGTGTTTCAGTAAGACTCGTGAGAAGGCACACACGGTTAGCATCATTTAATCAGTGGAGGATGCATGTTGCAATGTCCAGGGTGCCCCGGCACCTTGGCCTCATAGCAATGGAATTGGGTTTGGTGTTCTCATGGGCTCCTGTGCTCCAGCTCCAGTTGGTGGGAGCTGGAGCCAGACCAGGCCACTCTCCCTGCCTGGAGCTGGGAAGCAGGAGGTGTCTCTAGTGATCCACAAAAAAGAATGATAATTCTGAGCTCCCTGTCTCCGCAGGGCCAATGCTGAGATCGCTCAGGTTCGAGGCAAGGCCCAGCAGGAGCAAGCCGCCCACCAGGCCAGCCTACGGAAGGAGCAGCTGCGAGTGGATGCCCTGGAAAGGACGCTGGAGCAGAAGGTAATGGGAAGGGTGTGGCCTCCAGGTGGGCTGGGCTGCTGCTCTCTGTGCTGCTGGCCAGTCCAGATAGACAGGCTGGGCATCCCTGGCCGCTGCTGCTCCTGAAGACGAGTTCATGCTTCATGCGCACACCCTTGGCTCCTTCTAGAAGTTCCAATTTCATGCCAGCCCTGAGACCAGCTTCCTCTCCACCATTCCTGGAATTGCAGCCTCCATGTGTGTTTACTGCCATTTTCATTCCCTTCCAACATTCATTCGTTTGTTGGATATTTATTAAGCGCCTACAATGTGTTAGGCGTAGCCCTTGAACCCCTGGATCCAGCATGTTTACTGGTGAGTGGATGGGGTGCCCACCAGGCCCTGGCAGCGACAGCCAGCTGATGCAGAACAAGGGCAGTGCCAGGACTGGAAGGGCGCCCAGGGGGCCTCTAGGGACAGGGGTGATCTTCCCGAGGACACTCAGCTTGTGCCCAGGTTTCCTGCTTTTGGATCTGGCACCCGTCGTCCACTGTGAGCACTGTCTCCCTGGGTGTCCAGATAAGAAGTTCCCTCAGCCCAGCAGGGCCCTCTGAGCATTGGGCTGTTGAGTCTGCGTGTGTGGGTGAGGGCCAGCCTCCCTCCTTGGATGTGTTTCTCAAGAAGAGGATTTCCAGATGTGCAGCCTCCTTCCAGTCAATTTCCTGAGCCTTGGGGTCCCCCTGCATGGTCATCCACGAGCCCAGCAGCCTGGGTTGGTTGGGAGCACTACTTATGCATTTTGGGCCTTGATAGGCAGTGATAGGGCATCCTTTGTTGGCATCAGGAATCCATGTGCCTCCCGAGTGGCCTCTACTACCCCAGGAGCACCCAGCCAGCCCCAGGGGATTGACTGTCCTCCTTTGCCCACTGTGGTTGGTGGTGGTCTCGAGGGGCATTTGGGCCAAGCAGTGGTGATCTCTGCTCTGGGCAGGTGCCAGCCCTCCCTCTACCTTAGTGATGTTGGGGAAAGAGCCCTGGGGAGCAAGAAACAGGGTTCCTGGCCCCACTGCACCATCTGTCATGGCCCTGGGCAAGCCTTGCCCCCTACCTCAGTGTCTAGGTTCCCTCTAGCCGTGAAAATTTGAAGCCTGTATCATTGGGCAGATGGATTTCCCTGAGGTCCAAATCTGATACTCACCCAGTCTCCACTAGGCTCTGTGCCCTACAGGATGTTCCTGGTTACCATGTTACAGATCGTTCTTTTCCTTTTTTTTTTTGAGTCAGGGTCTTTGTCTGTTGCCCAGGCTGGAGTGCGGTGGTGCCGTCATGGCTCACTGCACCCTCCACCACCTGGGCTCAAGTGATCCTCCCGCCTCAACCTCCTGAGTAGCTGAGACCACAGTGCCCCCTACCAGCCTAATTTTTTTTATTTTTGTTTTTGTAGAGACAGGGTCTCACTTTGTTGCCCAGGCTGGTCTTAAACTTCTGGGCTCAAGCAGTCCTCCTGTCTCGGCCTCCCAAAGTGTTGGGATTATAGGTGTGACATTAATTTAATTCTTTACCTTTCTTCTTAGGATGAAAAAGACAGATGGCTACTAGACAGTTTAATATCAAAATTGCATTTAAAAAATAGTCTGGAATATGCATATATTCAGCTACCTCTGTTTTGTAGGCTCTGATGATTGCTCTTAGCAGTATAGTCAGAACGAGATGTGTGGTCACAACTGTCAAGTGCAAGTTTTTGCTCACTTACCCTTTATTTATTTATTTATATATTTTTTATTATACTTTAAGTTCTAGGGTACATGTGCACAACATGCCGGTTTGTTACATATGTATCCATGTGCCATGTTGGTGTGCTGCACCCATTAACTTGTCATTTACATTAGGTATATCTCCTAATGCTATCCCTCCCCCCTCCCCCCTCCCCACAATAGGACCCGGTGTGTGATGTTCCCCTTCCTGTGTCCAAGTGATCTCATTGTTCAATTCCCACCTATGAGTGAGAACCCACCCAGTATTTATTGAGCATCATTATGGTTTTAGTGTTGAGTGTGCATTTTTTATTCATTGTATGTTGATAATCCATGTGTGGCATATTTGGTGACTTGAAAAATGGAATGTTTCATTAAAATGAAGATCATATTAGAAGCCGGGCGTGTTGGCATGCGCCTGTGGTCCCAGCTACTTGGGAGGCTGGGGTGGGAGGACTGCTGGAGCCCAGAAGTTCGAGGCTGCAGCGCGCTGTGATTGTGCCTGTAAGTAGCCAACTGCATTGCAGCCTGGGCAACAGCGCAAGACCCCGTCTCCAAAATAAAGAAAGAAAAACCGTACTTCACAGTCATTGTGGCTATTGCAGCAGTTGAACATAAAATGTCTCTTGGTGAGAAATGTAGCAATGTGTGTGTTTGAGATGGTTCCCCCGTTTCCTGTGTTTAAATTGCATTATCTTAAACTAAACTTTGAGAGGAATGAATGAATCACACAGGTTCTTCCCTGAAAGACCTAAGTGATATCTAGGGGCCAGTCCCGTCTTAAAGAGATTCAGAAACAGGATCCACCCAGGCAGTTCTTGCATGGAGGCGCTGGGCATTTCACCCAATCAGCGCTTTGTAAAGGCTTTTGCTCCATGAGTTGAGCTTTATGCTGGGGCAGTTTGCTTCGTGGTGGCTGATGATGCCAAGAGGGAGCCTGGAAAACCTCCAGAAATCACTTTCTCATGGGTCTGCCGATGCCTCTCAGCCATCAGTCACTGTACATGATGTTTAACAATTATAATGGCAAAGCCATATAGGAGCTGGGTCAACCTGAATTTGTGTTCCAGGCGTGCCACATCTGACTGGCTGTGTGACCTTATACACAACCCTAACTTCTCTGAGCCTCCATTTCCTCACTGAAAAATGAGGATAATACTGGCTTCCTTGAAGGCACTGTTGAGGGAAGCAGGGGAGGCCAGAGTCCCTGGGGTGTGTTTAGCATTGTGGTCCGCACGTGGTGAGCACTCCAAGGAGATGGAGAATCACCGATAGCAGCCCCAGCAGGGGCCATAGTGGCAATGATAGTATTTTTTTTTTTTTCTTTTGAGATGAAGTCTGTCTCTGTTACCTAGGCTGGAGTGCAGTGGCACGATCTCGGCTCACTGCAACCTCCACCTCCCAGGTTCAAGCAATTCTCCTGCCTCAGCTTCCTCAGTAGCTGGGATTACAGGTGTGTGCCACTACACTCAGCTAATTTTTTGTATTTTTAGTAGTGACAGGGTTTCACCATGTTGGCCAGGCTGGTCTTGAACTCCTGACCTCAGGTAATCCACCTGCCTTGGCCTCCCAAAGTGCTGGGATTGCAGGCGTGAGCCACCGTGCCCAGCCAATAATAGTAATTTTAAGATTAGTGGTCAATGCTGTACCCCATTCAGAGCCCCATCGTCCAGCTGGCCTTTCAGCGCCTCTCTTGAGTAGTTGACCTCAGATGCAAATTCGAGCCAGGAGGTGGGCCAGGGTTATGTTCGAGGCAGGCTTCTCCCACAGCAGGGACTGCTGCTGGAAGGACCGTAACTTCCCCTGCACTGAGGAGAGCCACTGTTTCCCCAGCACTGACACAATGATGAGTGACCCCAGGAGTTCTAGGAACAGAGGGCATGTGGGTCTGGGCTGGAACATATCTCAGGAGTTCTGAGGTTTTCAGGGAAGGGCTCTCCACAGCCTCAGGCACAGGCTTTTGGTGAAGACTCACCTTCCATGGGAATCTCAAGGAAAGCGGGCTGCAAAACATCCCGAGTATGCTGGAGCGATTCAGCCCCCCTGGAGAAGGCCATTGGAGATTGGTTGTGCTGTTGAACTTTATTTTTTTATTTTTTATTTTTGAAACAGAGTCTCACTCTGTCACCCAGGCTGGAGTGCAGTGACACGATCTCGGCTCACTGCAAGCTCCGCCTCCCGGATTCACACTATTCCCCTGCCTCAGCCTCCCGAGTAGCTGGGACTACAGGTGCCTGCCACCATGCCTGGCTAAGTTTTTGTATTTTTAGTAGAGATGGGGTTTCT